AGTAAGGGCACCTCCCTTTTATGCCATGACTAGGGATGTTTGGTATATGCCCCATACATGGAGTTGTCCTGTGCCAAGAGCCTGACATCCTGGGCTGAGAAAGCCCTGTTCCAGGACTCTCCTTTGTCCTGTATTGGTGCCTCTTACCCTTGTGCCAAGAGGGACCCTCTTCTTACAATCCAATTGCCCATAGCTGTTGCCTGAGCTCTCTGTTCATGCTGAGGTTGAAGCCTCATGGTGGCTGGTACCATGGATCTGTCTCTGGCCCAATGGCGTAAGCTGGGCCCTCTCTAGAGAAGAAACCTGAGTTCCCTATGATCAATGCCAGAGCCCCGCCAGCAGGCGAGGGAATCCAAAGGCAGTTGCTGGGCATGGAGGCCAGAGGGACATAGGCTATCAAGGAGACAAAACTGAACCTCACATCACCCTACTTGGCCCAGAGATGGCTGGTAGTCAACGATGGGTAAGACTCCACAGGGTGGGGCAACCTAAGACAGGCACAGTCGGGGGCCAGTAGGAGAAAACTTGGGGTGCAACAAAGGTGGGGCACAGACCCCCCTCCCCAATGGTGCAGGGGCTTGAACACTCGCCCCTTCTGAGGAAGGTCTCCTGTCCCCATGGCTGCTTCCTGCTTCCCATGCCCAGCTCAGATCAGGACCCAGGTAAAGACAGAGACTGGCTGACAGTAGCTGCCCTCTCACTGAAACAGGACTTGTTTCCCATTTCTACCTGGGACCACAGGGAAAGGGGAAGCTTAAGGAAAGGGTTGTGTCAGGATGCTGCCTTCTTCCCTTTCTTCTCCCTCTTTTTTCTAAACACTTCCATGCCTTGTAGTTCTTTTGCTTTCTCTTCTTTTTCTACTACCCTCCATTTTCCATATCAGCTGGATCCAGAGGGCACAGCTTACTCCTCCTCGGACACTGACACCACCATCAACCACGGCCCTGATGGACCCTTTGATGCAGCCCTTCAACTTGCTGACGCTTTGGGAAGCCTGTCGCCAGTGACGCCGCCCGCTAGCCAGACCAACAAAGACAATCAAACCAACAACTTGAGGAGAGCTGAAATCCCTTGACTGAAGAGGCTGGCAACCTTCTACAGGAATGGGGCTCCTTCTGCGCTCCATCCACTATGTTTATAGCTATGCCCACTATCATTGCTTGCCACTCTTCTTCTGAGACTTAAATGGCCCAATCTGAGAGGTGGCCACTGATTTGCATGCGTGATCATTTAAAAAATAAAAAAGGGGGAATTTGCCGGAAGCCGGTCCATCCTTGCTGCTTGACACAGTCACTGCAGGAAAGAAACATCTGCACAGCATATGTTTCAAGGGACCTGGCGTATATAGCATACTGTTCTTAATATGTTTGCTCCCCTTAGCGCTGTGTGTTTTAACCAAGGTCACCTCTCCGAGAAAGGTTGTTTCCCCAGGTAGGAATTTTTCCCTGAAGTCAGGGAGGGGATGCCTCTCCTAGAAAGGTTGTTTCCCCAGGTAGGGATTTTTCCCTGAAGTCAGGGAGGGGATGAAACTCCTTAACTAAGTGCCAGGTGGGCAGTTAATCACTACAAACAATCATGCTTAAGCTACATAATCTTTACTCCCTGGAATGGAGATAAGAAACGCCCTAACCTTTGTAATAGAAATTGTCAGGATTAAAATCAACTGGTATAAATACGGATGTAACAAGACAATAAACGGCAGAACTTCGCTGGAGATCCAGACCAGAACTTGGCTGGAGATCCTGGCTAGAGATCCTGGCTAGGCTGCTGATCAACTGAACACTGTCTCCGTGTCCTTCCTTCTTCGCCGACTCCGTCCACACCTTTGGGGACCCCTGGACCCGCTGGGGTTGGACCCCGGCATTTATGGACAGTGATTTTGCTAAAGAAGGGAGAACCAAGCCAGTGTCAAAACTTCGGAGCCCTGACAATTATACATAATAGTCTAGTTCTGAAATTTTATGAAGAACCTTAAATTCACAAACCTTTTACAGATAGAGGTATGCCAAGATTTTCATGCAAAATTCTGTTAATATTGTCTGTAGAGTTAATAACTTTGGGCAGAAAACACCTGTGAGGATTCTGCATGCCTGCCAGAACGGAGTACCAGCATCACCCCCTGTGGCTGCCTTGATACCACAGCAAAGGATCATGTGACTGGAGCTATACTTCACCTGCTCAGTCACCAGTCATCCAACCTATTAATATTAACGGGATCTCTGTAGATGTTAAACTAATGAATTCAACATAAATATTGCATTAAATGTAGAATATTGATTACTGTGTTTCTTACAGAAGGGGATTGTAATTCTGCACCGGATTTATGTTGAAATGCTAAATCTGAACGACTATTGAAGGCATCATCATTGAATTAGGAGAAAACCAACTGCTTTCAGAGTTTTATCTCAAGGTGTGGATTCTCAACTAATTGGAGGGGCACTGTAGAATATGTGCAACTTTTTCAAAAAGGTTATAGCAAAAAGCTTTCTTCTTTCTTCCATGAGTAAGTGAATAAATAATATAATTGTTATATAATGACTATGTCAAAAACAGATTTATTAGGACCATGAATGAGTGTTGGGAACTTAAAAATGCAATAGAAATATCAGCAATTTCAAAGCTGGTAAAATGTATTCCAGGTTCATGCTCACTTTAGTTAGCTAATACTGTCTGCCCAGAAAAATAATTAGAAGGGCCCCTCCTCTCTGAGAAATGATACCAGTGAAAAAAGGGGCATCTCTGGGAAGCTATACTTTAGACTCAGATTAAACCACCACCAGCTATTCATATATTTAATAATATATTTTGAGTAGAATTTTGCCTGTGGTTTTCTGCATACTTATTTGTATATTTAGGAAGTCTATCATTTTAAAAGAATTACAAAAATTCTACTAAGAGATTGTTCCAAGATTATACTAAGAGGTCTATAAATTGCTCAAGGAAGCACTTTATTCGTATCATTCTCATGGTGCCCAGGGCCCTACATTATTATAACCTGTCAATATGTCACTCTCCTTCACTGCACTGTGAACGCCTTGAGGGCAGGATCTAAGTCTTGACCATAAGCCCCTGTACTATTTAGTGATAGTCACTCAAGCAGATGTGTGAACGGCAGGAAAGCAGGTAGACAGGAAAGATTAATTATGGAGCATGAGTAGACTAGATTAGATATGTGCAAAAATTCAATTCTTTTAAATTTTCTGCTATAATTTATTCACTCTTGCAAGTCCTCACTTGGCTGTAGCACTTCATCATCTCTCTGCTATTCTTCCTCCATGATTTCATAATGTCAACAGCATCTTCAATTTTTGTTTATTAGACGCCTCTATCGAGGGTTAGCTGGATTATAATCTTGCTTTTTGTTCATTTGTGGTTAGAGCCCTGCTAAATTAAGGGTCGCCTGATTACAAAGTAGCAACCCACTCTATCACTAGCTCACTTTATCCACTATCCCCTGCTTTCTTTTTCTCCATAGTGCTTAACATTAGCATCTTCTGGTGCACTCAGTGATTTTTCTTATTTGTTTTTTATTGGGTCCCTCCTCTGGAATATAAGCTCCATGAAAGTAAAGATTTTATTTTGTTAACTGTTCTATCCTCACCATCTAGACTAGTACTGTCATACAATAGGAAGAGAGAACATTTAAATGAATAAGTCAAAAGGCTTATCTCCTATATTGAGAATCATTCACAAATTACAATGTAGCTTTGCTTGGAAGCCTTCTCTTACCCTAGTACATATGCTTTTCCCCAAACTCTCTTCTATGATCTCAAGCCTCTTTAATGTCTTGCCTTTGTTCATTTCCAACCCCAGCAGGTCCAGGGGTTCCCAAAGGTATGGACAGAGTTGGCGAAGAAGGAAAGACACTGGGAGTAACCTTAACTCCTCTGGTAGCAAACATATGTGTTAAAAGATCAATATTTTTTTGGTAAAAGAGCACAAGAGTAAAAACCTGATAGTTCACTTATATTGCATAACAAGCTAACCAAACTGGACATGGAGGATAAAGCATAAACAAATCATTTTACTTATTGTTTCTATGACTCTTCTTTCGATCAGATTTCTGTCTTTTCAAATAGGACTGAGGTATAGTACACTGGCAAAAATTAAAAAAAAAAGGCAAACAAGAATAGTGCCAAAGTAACAGATACCCAAAACCGAATACCATGTCAGAAAACATCATGTAGAACCATTTTATCAGATTAGAGCAGCAAGAGGAAGTTACTTCTAAATCATAATCATTTAGTGGTATTTATCAACTTCGTCATGGTAACTTTGCAACATCATTCTTTATTTGTGAAGTAGTAAAATTCATGTCAAAAAGGAAGGGGGAATGGAGGAAGTCAATTAGTTCATTCCAATAAATTACCTCTCCAGTTCTTATAAACATGCCCATCAGCACAAAATTGAGGAATAATACCTAAGACTAGAAGAGACTTGGTTTAACTTATGAAGCAAATCAAAATGGAAAATACGAAAAGGTACAACCAATAGGGTTGAAAAGGCCCCTCACTGAAAATCTGTATTAAAAAAAATAAAATTAATAAAAATAAAAATAGAAACAAAACTCTACTAGTACAAACTAGCCTGAGTGGTTTGGTGGGCAGTGTAGTTGGGCCAGCTGTCACTGTATTCTCATAACTGGATTTTCTTCATTCCGGTTAAACTGTTACGTAAACGTCAGCTCTTTACAGACAGGTAATCCATTTTCATTAGGACCCAAAGAGTTACTGTATATCCTATCAATAAAAAATATTTTTACTTTGATAACTGACTGAAGATGTGGGGACTCCATGTAATCCAACCGCAAGGTTGGTTGCTGTCCAGTCCTGTGCAAATATAAAAAAAATTTTGCTCTAAGGCTTTGACCCTACAGTTTTCACAGCAACTTAACTACCATCCAGCATGTCCCATATTTGCAAGCCTTCAAGTTCAACAATCCAAACTGTCGCTGCATATTATGTCCCATTGCAGCATCCTTGAGGAGCAGAGGAGGCCACTTAATCATCCTGAGACATACAGGCGTCTCCCCACTCGTCCCATTGGGACGGGGGGTTCTGATCTTCTCCCTCGTCAGCCAGCTCTTCTTCGGCTTCTCCCCCTTCGTTCTCCTCGTACTCTTCATCCCGAGGGAAATCTGTCTCCTGTCCCTGATCTACATCTTCTTGCCTTCCTGGCTGTGGTTTATCTGCACATTCTACACAAATACCACAGCGTCCAGATCCATGTCTGATTCCAACACTGGCAGCTAATATGAAGATCTTCTTACACACCATACATTTGTATTTTTTATCCTTTTTATGCACCAGGGAATGTCTTTTTACATGCTCTCTGCGAGTAAACAGTTTTCCACAAATCTCACAGCTAAAGGATCTGACTCCAGTATGAATGAGCAAATGCCTTTTTAGTGTTCGTCTGTATTTGGCTACATAGGTACAATGAGGGCATTTTAACTTGTTCATGTTTAGAGATGATTCACCATTTTCCCAACTTTCTTGTTTTGGCCAAGATTTAGGCAACAACCCATACTTGTAATCGTTTGCAGCACCTGGTAGCAAGCCATACTTGAAAGTGTTTGAAGTACCTGGTAGCAATCCATACTTGAAATCACTTGATGGGCCAGGCATCAGGCCATACTTGAAATCACGTGAAGTACCAGCATCGCCTGCATCCTGCCCCAAGCTGGCTTCTGCCAGCACGTTTGCGTTCACATTCCTGTCACAGTCCAGCCCCGGGAGCAGAGCACCGTCCAGATCCGGTTCTTCCTTAATGAATGACATATCTTCTTCTGGATAGGCGACAGGTGGCTGCTTCACGGAGCAATCTTCTAAACTTGTTTCATTATTAGGTGGTATATTATCAATAAATCTCTTTGGAGTTTGGTTTTTCCTCCTTCTTTTGTTGCCAGTTTCTTGAATTCCCTGGGAGCCCATATTATTCCAAATAAACACTTTTGTTTGACGTGGGGCTTCACTTTCAGCCAATTCAGGTGAACCATCCTGGACCCAACCACTGTCATTCATTTGGTAGTTCTCCATTTGGCCCTCATCGACATTGCAACCATCATTTTCAGTTTTTGTATTACTTGCCAAATTGGTAAGATTCCGTGTTGCCCAAAAACTGGCAATTTTTTGATCCCGTGATGAAGACAGACCATCTCTACTGACTGGTTTTCTGTTGTTATAGTCCACAACCACAGACTCCGGAGCTTCAGATTTAATGCTTATATTTAAGGCATCTTTAATGAAATTTCGGCAAGTCTGAACAACTTCGCTCATTTGCAGATAGCTGGCCACGGTCATCACTTCAATGGCATTTTGACTCGTGAGCACCAGGTTACCAGAGTATAGGAAGTCCAAGATGACGGAGAAACCTTGAACTGCAGCAATATCTAAGTGGGTAGTATTGTTTTGGTTAGGGCTTTCTTTGTTGGAAAAGCAATATAAAGTCTTAAAGAAACGGCTGCCTGCAACCAGGATGTTCTTATGAGCTTTAAAGATTTTTCCGCTCACCACAATGCTGACATCACAAAGAATACCTTTCTTTCTCTGCTCATTTAATTGTTGAAGAAGTTGATAGCAATAAGAGTTTTCATTTGGCCTACTATTAAAGTCACAGTATCCCTGTTCTGAAGGTATTTCTGATTTCTGGGCATTGGCTTCGTGGAGCTTGTGCTCCGTGGACAGGTGGTGCCACAGGAGCAGGGTTTTCTTGTAGTTGCGGGTCCCTTGTGACAGCTCGTCATGGCCCCCGGGGGGGAGGTTCCCACCACTGCCGTCTGAGGGGGTCTTCTGGCACCAGGCGCAGGACATGAGGCCGGTGTCCTTGCAGTAGCGCAGCCAGGGGAAGTCCCGCAGCCAGGCCTCCTGGAAGGAGGTCTCCAGCTTCTGCAGCAGGGACTTGGGCCGCGGGAGCGGGAGGTACGCCATTTATTGGGGTTCAACCCCAGCAGGTCCAGGGGTTCCCAAAGGTGTGGACGGAGTCAGCGAAGAATGAAGGACACGGAGGCAGCGTTCAGTTGATCAGCATAGTGGTTCTCCAGCCAGGTTCTAGCCAGGATCTCCAACCAGGTTCTGTCTTTATTGTCCTGTTACATCTGTATTTATACCAGTTGATTTTAATCCTATCAATTCTATTCCAAAGGTTAGGGCGTTTGTTAATCTAGTTCTGTTGATTTTAATCCTATCAATTCTATTCCAAAGGTTAGGGCGTTTGTTAATCTAGTTCTGTTGAGTTTAATCCTATCAATTCTATTCCAAAGGTTAGGGCGTTTGTTAATCTAGTTCTGTTGATTTTAATCCTATCAATTCTATTCCAAAGGTTAGGGCGTTTGTTAATCTAGTTCTGTTGAGTTTAATCCTATCAATTCTATTCCAAAGGTTAGGGCGTTTGTTAATCTAGTTCTGTTGAGTTTAATCCTATCAATTCTATTCCAAAGGTTAGGGCGTTTGTTAATCTAGTTCTGTTGATTTTAATCCTATCAATTCTATTCCAAAGGTTAGGGCGTTTGTTAATCTAGTTCTGTTGAGTTTAATCCTATCAATTCTATTCCAAAGGTTAGGGCGTTTGTTAATCTAGTTCTGTTGATTTTAATCTTGTCTAGGTTAATCTCTGTGTTCCATTACACGGGCTATTCCAAGGTCACTGCTCTACTGATAAGCTACAAGGAAGTGACTGAAGGAGATTATCCTACCCAGTAAAGGTTATGTCCTCCCAGCCTCACTGCTTGCCTTCCCTGGGACTGCCCTGTGTCGGTGGGTCTCCAGGGGTATAGGCTTTGGTGTTTTCCCTGGTGGGCAGACTCCTGGGGATGTGGTCCCAACAAGTTCCAAATTTATTGCCAACAGTCTTAGTCCAAGTACTTCATAAGTAGTACATGGTATTTCTGTAACACTAGGGGGTCTTACCTTAACACTAGGGTGTCATTCCCTTCCTTAGTCCTGTTAATTCCTAACTCCAGGGAAAAATCCCTATCTGGGGAAACAACCTTTCTCAGGGAGGTGGTCCTGGTTAAAACACATAGGGCTAAGAGGGGGAGCAAACATATGCCATATATGGCAGGTCCCTTGAAACATAAGCTGTGCAGATGTTTCTTCTCTGCAGCTACTATGTCAAGCAGCAAGGGTGGACCGGCTTCTGGCACTATAATAAAAATACTACAAATTGCGTGGCTTGATGAACAAATATTTATGTCTCAGTCTGGAGCAGGGGTCCTCAAACTACGGCCCGCGGGCCACATTTAAATATAAATATTGTATTTGTTCCCTTTTTGTTTTTTTACTTCAAAATAAGATATGTGCAGTGTGCATAGGAATTTGTTCATAGTTTTTTTTTTTAAACTATAGTCCGGCCCTCCAACGGTCTGAGGGACAGTGAACTGGCCCCCTGTTTAAAAAGTTTGAGGACCCCTGGTCTGGAGTCTCAGAAGTCCAAGATTGAGGTGCCAACAGATTTGTGTCTAGTGAGGACCTGCGTCACGGTTTATAGACTGCCACCCTCTCACTGTGCCCTCATATGGCAGAAGAAGCAAGAGAGCTCTCTGATGTCTCTCTTATAAGAGAAATAATCCCATTCCTGAGGGCTCTCCCCTCATGATCCAATCACTTACCAAAGGCCCCACCTCCAAATACCATCACATTAGGGGATAGGATTGCAACATACACATTTTGGGGGTACAAACAATGAGTTCATAACACATATTCTTCCATGACCAAAGCTGAAAACTCATTTCTGCTTCATCAGTGTTGACGTGGATCAGAAGTATGTATTACCTGAGAAAAAATACTGTCAACAACTTCACAATTATCACTGCAAATAACAGCTAGCACTTGCAGTCTGCTATATCAAGCCTCGTTCTAACTGGTCTACATATATTAACTCATTTTTCACCATAAAAATTTGTTAATTGGTACTATGATTAGCCCTAAATTTCAGATGAAGAAACAGAAATACAACATAGGGTACATTTTTTATGGTCACACAATTAAGTGGTGGAAAAGGGTTTCAGACACAAGCAGCACGTGTCTGAGGATCTGTGCACCTAGGGCAGATCTTAAAATCTATTCTTAAAATGTATTCCATTGGGATTTTGTAATCTTTGTTGTCAATTATGGGATGATCCTTCCAGAGGAAAACATACCCTGGCAGCTGAGGAGAAAATGATGGGAAATCTATCTGATAGCAAGAAAAAATAGTTCATTGATAGTTCTTACCATGATGTATTGGAAGGAAGAATGAATCAAAAATTGTTACATAAGTAGTATTTAATTAACATCAAAGCCTCTGATTGAAAATTGGTCTTGTTTGGGCTTTAATTGTATCAAAGTAATTTTAGGTTCACAAGAAAATTGAGAGGAAGGTACAGAAATTTCTCATATACCTCTTAACCCCACTGGAGCCAGTCTTTAAATTCTCCAAAATTAAAATTGTTTTCATCTAATTTTATTGGAAACTTATGAAAATTTGAGCTATTCTACCTAAACCAATTTGAAACAACAAAACAATTAAAAACAGAAGTTAGATTTTTTGTCATTTCAAGAATACAATTATATTTTTTTTCTTTCAGATTCAATCTGAGAATGGATTAATATGAAATATTCTCATTCAGTACTTAGATAAGTAACATGTGTCAAATATCCTTTTATTAGTATACTAGAGGCCCGGTGCACAAAAATTTGTGCACTCGGGGGAAGAAGGGGTCCCTCAGACCGGCCTGTGCCCTCTTGCAGTCTGGGACCCCTTGGGAGATAACGACCTGCTGGCTTAGGCCTGCTCCCGGGTGGCAGAGGGCAGGCCCAATCCCTAGGTGCAGCCCCTGGTTGAGCTCAGAGCAGGGCCGATTGGTGAGTTAGGGCGCCTTCCCCTGTCATGCACAGAGCAGGGCAGATTGGGAGGTTGTGATGCCACCCTCAGTCACGCTCAGGGTAGGGCCAATTGGGGGGTTGGGGCACCGCCCCCTGTCACACTCAAGGCAGGGTCGATGGGGAGGTTGCAGCGCCACCCCCTGTCACGCACAGAGCAGGGCCAATCAGGGGGTTGGGGCGCTGCCCCCTGTCATGCACGGAGCAGGGTCAATCAGGGGGTTGGGGCTCCATACCCTGTCATGCACAGAGCAGGGTCAATCAGGGGGTTGGGGCTCCATACCCTGTCATGCACAGAGCAGGGCCCATCAGGGGGGTTGGGGCTCCATACCCTGTCATGCACAGAGCAGGGTCAATCAGGGGGTTGGGGAGCTCCCCCCTGTCATGCACAGAGCAGGGCCGATCAGGGGGTTGAGGAGCTCCCCCCTGTCACTCACAGAGTAGGGCCGATAGGGGAGTTGGGGCACCGCCCCATGTCACACTCAGGGCAGGGTGGATCAGGGGTTTGGGGCGCCGCCCTCTATCACCCACAGAGCAGGGCCGATCAGGAGGTTGGGGCGCCGCCACTGTCACACTCAGGGCAGGGCCAATGGGGAGGTTATGGCTCTACCCCATCACACACAGAGCAGGGCCCGTTGGGGGGGGCGTTGGGGCGCCGCCCTCTATCACCCACAGAGCAGGGCCGATCAGGAGGTTGGGGCACCGCCACTCTCATACTCAGGGCAGGGCCAATGGGGAGGTTATGGCTCTACCCCATCACACACAGAGCAGGGCCCGTGGGGGGCAGGGGTGTTGGGGCCCCACACCCTGTCACACACAGAGCTGCAGGGCAATCAGGGGGTTTGGGCGCTGCCCCCTGTCATGCTGATCCCGGTGCTGGGAGGCATATTACCCTTTTACTATATAGGTTAGAGGCCTGGTGCATGGATGGGGGCTGGCTGGTTTGCCCTGAAGGGTGTCCTGGATCAGGGTGGGGGTCCCCGCTGGGGTGCCTGGCCAGTCTGGCTGAGGGGCTGAGGGCTGTTTCCAGGCTGGGACTGAAGCTCCCAACCGCTCCTTTTTTTCTTTTTTTTTTATTCTGGGCCAGCTTTAGCTCTGAGGCCTCGGCTGCTGAAAACAGGTTTCTGGCCTTTGTTTACCGTCTGTATTTGATACAATGTTGCGGTCCGGCTGGCTGAACCCACTGAGTAAAGCAGGTTTCTGGGGTTTTTTTTAGCTTCTTTATTCGCAACATAGTTGCTTAGAGTTGCAGCTGAGAGGCCGGCAAGTCAGGCGGGGAACGTTGGAGTTCTCCATCACTGAAGCAAGCAAGCCTCCCTGTTCGCGTCAGCTGCCTGGCTGCCGGCCGCCATCTTGGCTGCCAGTTAATTTGCATATCTCGGCCCTACTCTGTGAGTGATAGGGAGATTAGCCAATGGGAAGGGTAGTGGTCGCACGCCAATTACCATGTTTCTCTTTTATTAGTGTAGATATAAATGAGCAGAAGGAAATTAAGCTACAATAGGCTTTTCCTATTAATACAGGAAATAATTGGCTTGGTATATCATCAATTACAGGAATTTAAACTGAACTACAGAGCATGTAATGAAATATTACACAGCAATAAAAGGGAAGAAATATTGCCATTTTCCACAGATGGATGGGCCTAGAAGGTATTATGCTAAGTGAAATAAATCAGACAATGAAAGACAAATACTCTATAGCTTTACTTATATGTGAAATCTAAAAAATAAATTTAAAAATGAACAAAAAAACAACAAAGCAGAAGCAGATTCATAGAGAGATCATAAGGATAGTTGCCCAAAAGAGGGAGATAAGTGAAAAAAGTGAAGAATCCTATATAATAAAAGCCTAATATACCAATTGTCCCCTCAACCAGGAGTTTGACCAGGAGTTTAACCTCTTGCTATGGTGGGCACTGACCACCACGGGGCAGCGCAGACCATGGCGGGCATTGGTGACACAGTGCTGGTAGCAGGCAGCATTGGAGGCATTGCCTGCCCCCATGGCCCCCAACAGTAGCAAGACCAGGGCAGGATGGTGGAGCAGGTGAGCGGGTGGCTCCAGGC